AGATTAATTGATTTGCACACAAAAAATCGTTAGCTGCAGCCCTAGTTTTAACCTTGGCAAGATTAATTACTTTTTCCTTACTGGGGAATTATTCTGGGGTAAATTTCACACTGATGGATATGATGGAAAAGAACAGGCACAGAATACGCTGAACCCCGAGTGCATTTTCACCTATAGTTTAGTCTACCTTCACTCTGCAGGCAGAAGCGACTCATATGAGACTTTTTGGTTGCAGTCAGAACGAAATTGTTTTTTTCACCTCTAAAAGAATCTGAACTGTACCACTTCCATACATATTATTTAACAATATATGTATCTGTTATTTTTCAGGGCGTCATGTCACAGTTCATCCAACTAACATGTTATCATCCACGCCTTTTCAGCACATCAGTTTCACCTTTCTGTGTCTTGTTATGATGTAATCATCATTACAGCTCCCATTGTTCAACAACTTATAATAACACAGAGATGCCAACATCTGTAATTACGTCCATTAATGGTGTGCCTTCTATGCATGCTGATCACAGGTCGCAGTCTGAAATCAGATTTTACTCTGCATGGTCAAAGTGAAAGCAATGCTTTTGCATGTTTGTCTAAAAGGAAACCAGTATCTACTTGTTCTCTCTTGGCATGAGAACAAAAAGAACCACCAACATGCCAAGAGGGGTGATAATGTTGACAATGATATCAATGTTCAGAGGGGTACTGAGAGCATGGCTAAAGCAGTGCTAGGATAGAGGTTTTTGCTTCATAATTTCTTCCCCCCTCTTCATCATTAAGGTTTTAATTTGCTGTTTAGAACAGATTGAAATGGATTTGAAACAGAGATTGAGAGATTTGAAAGATCTGCAAAAGCAAAAAGTGTTTTTGGTGAAACAGGTTTTGAAGAACCCCGAATCAATGGAACCAAATGAGGCGTTTCTTTTGAACATCTTTGAGCCGAGGATTAACCCAGATTCTAGCAGCAGCACTGTGTGTGGGAGTAGGGTTAAATAAACGATATTGTGTGTTCCTGGTGAAGAAAGGAACATGTAACCCAGTTTAACAGGGTGACTCACTGTTCAGATTAGCTCAGAGGAACAAGGTCTGAATGAAAGAACAGGAGATGCTGAGAACAAGGCTTTAGTTTTGTTATTTATATACATAAATGACTTGAAATATTCAGAGAAAATCCAATTTAATGTTAAATAAAACTACAAATAATTTACCTGCATCCAAAGTACCAGAGATGTTAATTGCATTCATTGACAGATGTCCCAGTTTTGATGCTTTAATCGTGGTCATACTGTATGCCTGGCAGGTCTACTTCAGCAAAACTGGAGACTTTTTGGTCCTTCCTGGCCTCCAGCCACAGAATCAAGCAAATCTCATCCGCTATAATGAATCCTCAAGATGCGTCAGTCGGATCTGAGTCCACAGCAACACACCTAGCTCTCATGTTCACTAACACACTCCCTCAGGGACACACCTGGATCCCAGCCCAGCAGACTGGTGCTCGGCTGTGTGCCCTGCAGCGCGGCACGCTCTCAGAGCCGGCCAGCCGGTGTGCTCGGTGTGGGGCTGATGCAGTTTGATCCACGATATGGACAGAAAGGCTTATCTCTGTACACATTCAGGCTGTGTGTGGATTAGTGTGGTTAAACAGTGGACCTCGGGGTACAGCAGACAACCCAGGAGCCGCCTTAGGGTAGGTTGGTCTTTGTTTTTAGTGTCACTTGGAGAAATTGTTGGAGGAAGATTACTTCAGGAGCAGCGTATTCAACCATCTACCCCTTTGAAATAATGGAGAACATTTTTCCACAACATTTTTCTGCTTTAGAACCACTAGATTAAAGGGAAACACTGTTTTTCTTTTTACATTGGGCCCTTGATTTTATTACATCATGTTCTACTCACCCATATGATTTTTGTGTCATTTGGAGCTGCTCTGAAGATATTCCGTTAGGTTATACCCAAGTAACGTCTTCCTATGGGCAACAACTTGAAGGCACAAAGCTAAACTGTTCATGATTTATTCTTTATGGTACGCCAGCATTCATAACATGTAGGCGAATCCCTGTCCCCCAGACATCCGCGGTTATATTATTTATATTTATATCTTTTAAAAACAAAGCGGCGCGTGTATGATGTCATATATAGAGTATTATTGCAAGATGGCATCAAATAAAACTTTAATCCTCCTGCAGCAGCGCACTTTGGTGGAGTCTGGGATTGTGTTTTCCAAATGGTGAGAAAGATTTTAACCTCTAGATTGGATGATGATGGATAATAGACAGTTTTGTGTCTGATTGAGGCTATATTGAGTAGTCGACCATTTAGTAACTTAGTGTTTTATTAGTAGAAGATCCCACTGATCTGGAACCACTCACTCCTAACTACATTCTCCTGATGAAAAGAAGGGGAAGCCAGTTTTAACACCTGGATTCTTTAATAAGGATTGTATAAGGATGTATTTGAAGAGGAGAATACCTCCCATTGCCGTGTGAGTGGCAAAAATGGAACCAGAGAAGGAGGAATTTTGTTACTGGAGACATAAATATTGTGATGCATCCTGTAACTCCAAGAGAGCCCTGGCTGCTGGGCAAACCTATTCAGAAAAGAAAGGTCAACTATGTTCTTTGAGACCGAAGACAAAAACAGATATTTTAGAAAGACCCGTCTCCAAGCTGTGCTTATTGACAGAAGCAGCAATTAGTTCATTATTTGTAGTGACTTGCACAATATTGGGTATTACCGGTTATAATTTTTTTCATTATGGCTCTATAATTTCATCTAAAGGTAATTAAAATGTCAGCTGCCATTTACAATTAGGGGCCAGTGTATTAGAGCTATATTTCTGGAGTTCATGAGTTATTATGTTTGTTGTCATACCTGAAAGTGCCTTCATCTGTTTAATGGGAATCACAGGTACTGTAGATGCACAGCAGATGTGCTGATTGCCATGGTAACGTACAGTTTTTGACTGTCATTGTCGTTTTTTGTGTTGATCACTGCGCTGCAACAAAACTGTTAAATCCTTTGAAGTGTAGAACAGCCAATTCGTCTCTTATTGAACGCACCTGATCAATAAATGCTCTGCAATCACAGAACCTCAAGTGTTCATTATTGGATCTAGGAGGACGACTCGTCAGCTTAGAGCCAGTCAGCAGCCTTTCGGTGGCTTAGGTTTGTTTTGTTTTCTTTAATTAAGAACAAGTCATTATAAGTCATGTATTTTCCAGTTAGGTTGCAGTTCTGGAGTATAATGGGTTCCTGGTTGCTTTTGTTATATTTTTTTTTTCTCAACACATTGGAAATGAAAGGAATTTATTTCAGACAAATATGAATAAAACAAATCAACCAAACACACAAAAGAGACTAACATCAAACCAAACGCCAATTTCCTAACTAATTGAATTCACCTGAATGTAAATAGAAACTTCACCCACCAAATAAACCTGTCGGTATACACAGCCAGAGAACTGAAATAGATCATTTCCTTCGACCCTGTTTACTATTTGCAGCAAAACATTTGATGGTTCTGTGATCACAGCCCAATTTCCTGGCAATATTAAATGCTGCTTCCCTCTGAGAGATGTTTTACAACTTAAAGTCTACTTTGACCTGAGGAAAATAAGCTATTATTAGCTACACTAATAATGTTGTTATCTCCTTAGACTCATCAGATGATTTGCTAATATTCACTAAACATTCAATTTTATACAGCTTGGAGTTGGAAAACATGAATACAACTTATATGGTTACTTATATGGGTAATAAACTATAACTTGCCTAAAAATTATGCACACAGTATGTTAGACAATATCTAGTTCAGAAAGTAATCCCTCCCTACGGCAAACTTTTCCTCTGAATGACTGCGCTTAAATTTAGTACAAAAAGCAGCAAAGTGTAACTTTGACCCCATTTATTATCTTTAGTTAATAAACATTCAATGATTTTTCAGGTCATTATGAGATTAATGATACTTACTGATGCTCTGCATCTACTCCTGTGTTTCTATCCAAATGTCATGCAAATTTTAAACAAACTCTTAAAATGGAAAAAGAAAAAAAAAGAAAAATTAGATGCGTTTTCATCATTTGGAGTGAGTTAACCTGTCAAGGTAAAGTGCAAAATCCTTATATGTTAACTTCAGCTTGGCTGTAAAAAAAAACAGGAAATAAAGGAAGCAAACTGGTGTGAACAACGGATCAGTAATGAACCAAAGTTTTAATAAATGTGTTGGGATCAGTCAGCTAGTATTAGTGATGCTACATGCCATACACAGAGGTAGAGAGGGTGATTCTAATGAGATGCTGGCAGCGCAAACAGCTGATCAGGTAAATGTTTTGTTGTTCTGTTGTAAATTGTTCTGTCAGAACTCCTTCGAAAAATGTTTCTATTTCCTTTTTACCACATTGACTTTTTCAAAAAAAGCCCAAAACCACTTACAGAAAGTGTAAAAACTTTAATTTGTAAAATGTAATTAAGTTAATCTGAATGTTGCTGTTTGCAGTCAAGCTCTTCTAACATATACTTCTAAATGAGCTTAAAAAAAACATTGATGGAAACTCATCTACTCATCATGACTGAATTAGTCATGTGACCAAGAGCGCTGCTTTATGACACTCCGAGCTCCCTTTAAACACAAGAGCTAACTGTAAAAATTAAAACAGATAAGATACTTACATGATTAGGCATATTTTTGGTTCTCTGATGTAAGATTTAATCCAGAGGGGTGAATGTGGCCTTAAATTTACAGTTAATTTAATTAATATTGCATTATGGAGCTAAACCAGGAAGTTACAGGTAAAGCTCCTCTAGTTTCTTAAATTTATTGGGAATTATGGGTCCAGTCAGCTGGCCTGGAGGATCTACAAAATAGCTTATTTGTCTTTTTGTTTCTCAAAGGTTTGTCTGTGTTTTATCCGGAATCAAATCCGTAGCAGTTTATTTTCCCCTTTCAATTTACCATAAAGATTGCAGCAGTAACGACAGCTGATTCTTTCTCTGTGTTGCAGATGAGAACAATGTCTAATGAGGCAGAACAGAGAACGTGTGATGAGGATTTTGGTTCAGAGGAGGAGGAGGGTGAGGAAGGAGACGTGGAGTCTTACCTGGAAGACAACAGCAGCGAGCTCATGGACCGACTCAGAGAGCTGGAGGTGAGTTGATATGGCTCCTTCTAGACAGAATGAGCGAAGAATGCGTTGGCTCTGATATTCAGAACAATCAGGGAAAAAGAGGAGCAAGGGGGGAAGAATATGGAGACTGTGCTTGGAAGTGACAGAGGAGGACGTTAGGAATGATGAGGTTGGATAATCTGTTTTGGCGCCCCCTAAAGCAAGAAAGAAGATAAAAAGTATAAATATTTCAGGCTTTTTAACATGTTTGTAATAAATGTTTGCTATATATTTATTGACTCCTTTTTTAGCTGCTTGCACCTCAACCTCATTTGTATCCCTGACCAGCTTTTCATAATCTTGTTTAGAAGACTTGGTGTTTGTCGGATGGGTTCGTGCCTGTGACACATAATAACCCTCTGATCTGAACTGCTTCTTTGTTGATTTGCAGGCTGAGAACTCTGCTCTGATGTTGGCAAATGAAAGCCAGAGGGAAGCTTATGAACGATGCTTAGATGAGGTGAGGCTATACCAGAAATGATCACAGCTCGCTCCCTAAACGCAGCCTCAACACATAACTCTGTGCTCATGTTCTACTTCGTTAACAGGTGGCCAATCATGTGGTCCAAGCTTTGCTTAATCAGAAGGTAACATTAAAGTTCAGCCAAACTTCTCTCCTTTGACCTGGATTAGCGGTAAACATGAACTCGCTGTGATCCGTCTCTGAACAGGATCTGCGGGAGGAGTGCATCAAGCTGAAGATGTTGGTGTTTGACCTGGAGAGGCAGAACCGGGCGCTCTGTGAGCTCTTCCAGCAGAAGCTTCCCAATCATCCCACTGCTCACTACCAGGTAATACTCCTCACAGTTTCATGTTAAAATGGTTTACAGGAGAAAAAAAAATGCTAGACTTGGGAATTATATAAGTTAGAAGTTGAACTGTTTCATACACCATTACCCAATTTACACTACCCTTGAAAAACCGTGCTGAGACCGGTCCAAGCTCAGTAACTGAGATAACTTCTCATGTGTAAATGGAAAGCAAACTGAACTGAACCGAGCTAACTGCAGACCAGTTCCAGAGGTGGGCTTGGCTCGGTTTTCCCCTGGCTCGGTTTTCTGATAACAAGAGCGCATGAGCAGAACGCATCATCTCCGTCTGGCTGCACATCCCGATTCACACTCCATTCCAGTAGTTGGCAGTAATGCCCCTCCAGAAGTTGCTTGCCAACTAACACAAAACAGAAGAACAACTATAAACAACAATCGAAATCTTCTCCACGCAACATTTTGATTTGCTTGATTCCCTCCTTTTTCGTCGTCGTCTTCTTGTGTTTCATGGCGGTTGGCAAACAACTTTTGGTGCATTACCGCCACCAACTGCTTGATTTCCTCCTTCAATACTGGCAGTAATACCGCAGATCGTCACTAGGAGGTGAGGAGTCAAGGAACCGAGATAGCGTGATGTGTAAACAGTCTTTAGAACCGAGCTCGGCCTGGTTAACTGATCCGAGCTCGGACCGATCTCGGCATGGATCGGTTTTTCAAGGGTTCTGTAAATGGGGTACATGTTAGCTCTGCCTTGTATGGAAACTGTTCCAAAATTAGAGCTGGAACATCCTTGAACTGCGAAGTTTAAGACAATTTTGCAGCTGTGATAATGGCACAAATTTACAGAACATGAAAAAAGCACCCAGAACTTCTATGATAGTTTCTCTCCATTTCTGGGTTTGTGTTCTGTCTCGCTTCGGCCATTTCTGTACAAAATAATCATCTTGCACCTGGCTTTGTTTACGAGTAATGGTTCAAAAGTAAAAAAAAAAAATGTAGAGGCGTACTGCAACAAACAACATTCTGAAAAATGGGATGGAAACAGTATTCCCTTCAGGTCTACTTTTAATATTATTCCAGGATGCAGCATTCTGAACAACCAGCTGTGACCCTCTGTAGCTCAGAGGCTTTCGCTCACTGACGTCTTCTCGACATCTGTCCAATTGCTAGTGTTTCCCATCACAGTTGCACCTACTGACCCAGATTGAGAAACTGTTTAATGGCTCAGGAACCCTTTGGAGTTAATTAGTGTTTGACATCCTGGGTTTCCAATATTTCCCTTTTTTTCTTTTTTTTTTTTTACAATTTTCAAAACTTAAGACTCTGGTTGATGTTGACTTTGGTTTTCAACATCTGTTTTTATTATATGTGGTGTTCTTACTGGAGCTAAACAGGAAGAGATTCTCGCTTTATAATCATTGGTTAATTTATCGCAAGTTAAATAGCTATTACATGATTCCCCCTATATAATAATGTATTTTTCTCTTTATAAATATTTTTCACATCCCAGGAAGGTTAACCTCTCCTGTTAGATTTGTGTTCAGTAAGGGAGACGCAAGAGTTGAGCAAAGCTCATAAAACTCAAATTTTGGGAAAGATTTTATTATGATGATTAAACAGAAACAAAGATGAAAGGATTTGGCTGGGATTTTTAGTGTAGGGTTTTAAAAACCAAAATTAGATTTTAGTTTATTTCTTAGAGTTGGAAGTAAAAACAATGAAAGGGCTCCTTTCATTTTAAAATGTTTGTGTGAATGCGTTGGAGGTGGCAGAGTTTATTTGACTGACTTTTATAACCCAGTCGCTGAGAGCTTCCCTATCTGCAGAATTATATTTTCAATCTGAAACCAGACTGCTGTCAGCACTGATTCTGGACGAGAGGGAGCTGAGGAAACCCAGCTGAGGCTGTAATGGATCTCAGGCGTTTCACCTGTTTCTTGTTTTGTTCCTACAGCAGCCAGATGAAGTGTCTCATTGTTGTCTGTGTATCTAATAGCCAGTGGCGTATGCAGTGTCATCCTAATCGCCCCGTGATTCTCCCATTACAGGTCCAGGCGGGATCCCTCCCAGACTGCAATGCACAGCTGCACAATGACTCGGCCAAACAGGTGGAGCCGACTCAGACTGAAGCACAAGCCAAGGTGATTATCACAGAACCCAGTAGACATTTAGCAGACACTGAGAACGGTGGGTCCACAAACCCCACCTGAGGGCGTGTTGCCTTCTGACCTTTACTCTGTTTTTACTGAAGCTGTTAATCTCCTTCACACTCATTTCCTGTACGCATGCTCTCGAAGGTGCATTGTTTTTTGGTTTAGGTGTCCACGCTGAATACTGTGTTGATCTTAATCTCTCTCTTTCAAAAGGGAAATGGTTTCCGCACACAACATGCCTCCCCGGGCCCCCGCGGCCCCGCCGCCTCCATGGAGGCCCTATCTCCCTTCTTCAAGAAGAAAGCCCACATCCTGGAGGTCCTGCGTAAAATGGAGGAGACAGACCCCCTGAAGTTCCACCCGTCCACCACAAGCTTGTCTTTCTGTGACTACAGCCAGGTGCTGATGTCAACAGAGGCTGTTCTTGCCACTGCTGACCCCCACCCAGTCCAGTGCAAATCCCACCACTCACACTGCCACTGCTCCTGCACCGATGCTGAGACGCACCCACACGTCAACGGTGACGGGGCGGTGAAGTGTGAGGGAGCAAGCACGTGCTGTTCACACTGCAAAAGGAGTCCAGACAGCGCCCCCAAGCCATGCAGCCAAGTCTGTAGTCCTACAAAAGCCAACCCTTCCATCCAGAGCCACGTTCCTGCAGCCGCCATGAGTGAATGTCACAGCAAGTCCAGAGCAGGAGAGACCAAGCAATGTACTGTCAACAAAGCCCACCAGCAGCAAGCAGGCACCTCGGCCCACTCTGTGACGGAACCGCTCCATCGGGTTCTGGAGGTGGCCGGTCTAGAACAGGACGGCTCAGAAATTGGTATTCCCGAAGAGCTCACAGGTTTCTGCGGCACCTCCGATCTAACCGGGTCCGTAAAGGAATCCATGCCAATCCCACACTGTGACACGGATGCAAGCGGCAGCGTTACCAATGGCTTGGGGCAGTTGTCCAGCGGCGTGCCGATCGACCCCTCAGCCGTCCCTGAAAAGGACATCACAGATGAGGAAGCTTCCTCTGTGCGAGCAGGTGCCTCTGTCAGCCCGAGTCCCTCCTGCCTCAGTGACGTCAAGTCCGCTGCCATCAACTCGCCGTCCAAGTTGCTGAAGTTCCTGAAAATCCCGTCCATGGGGGACAAAGCTCAGGCATCAACCTCGGCGGTTCGCCTAAGCCCGCAGCTCACACGCAACTCCAGAATCCCGTGCCGCACCAACAACTATGAGGTCTATCACTCTCCGGTTCCTTCCCGCAGAGCCACCACCACAGAGAGGTGCAAGCAGCCCCCACCCCCACCGTCCAGGTCCGAGTCCTACCCTGCCACACACTCTGCACCAACCTCCCCTCCGCAACTGGAAGATGTCTGCTCCCCACCCAAAGAAATAAGCTACAGCAGTCTCTCTGCACCAAAAACCAGCGAAGGCTCAAAGCCGGGGAATCCATCCGCTGCATCCATGGGCTATCCCAGAGCTTCTCAAAAGGTCCCGCATTACGAAAACATCTTGGATATGTCCTCCCCTAGAGAAGGGGAACCAACCCAGGGCCTTGAAAAGAGAAGCACTATTCCTTCCCAATCAAGGGTCAACGGTGGTGAGAGGAAGCTTGTTAAGTCTTTACCAGAAAGTGTCTTGAATGCCTCTCCCCAGCGAAAGCAGTCATCCTCATCGACATCGGAGTCGACGTCTGAAGACGAAGAGGATTCCGACAGTCCCGTGTGGGTCAATCATCACAGTTTGCCCAACACAGCTGGCCTCTGCAAAGCTGAGAACCAAGCAAGCTACCCAAGAACAAGAGACAAACATGACATCGATATTAGAGAGGTCAGCATGCCAAGCTGCGAAGCCTCCCAGCCGCCGCCTCCTCCTGTCCGACGGACCGATTCCTCATCCATCCCCAAGAGGCCTAGCTCTGCTACAGGGAGATCTCAAGCTGACTCCAGTCACCATGCCTTCAAAGACCGACTGGCAGCTCTGGGAAAGCTGAGGAGCTCTGAGGATTTACAGATCAGGCCTGTGGACACTGTGGCTGAGGCGTCCCCTGGAGAGGAAAGGAGCAAGACCACAGAGAGGTCCACAGAGGTCCAGAAAGAGGAGCAGAGACATTCTAAGTACACAGATTCTCTAGACGGTAAACCTAAAAGTACTAGTGGTGGTTTGAAGTATCCCAGTTCGTCTCAGCTGTATGAACAGCCCGGAAAATCGTCGAGTAAAGAACTGTGCGTTCCCAGGCCTGAGGGCTCAAAGAGCAAAATCGGTTTGCCTTCCCCCAACTCGGATGCTCCGCAGGTCCTACGCAACAACATCAAGTGTCCCGGCTCCCTGAATCTAGCTTACAATGTCAAAAGTGGTCCGCAGAGTACAAACAGTCCTAACAAAATACCCCCCAAGTCACCATCCAAACCTTGCCAAGGCGTTTCTGTCCATAGAGGAGGGAAGCCTTCAGAAGCACCGCGTTACTCATCTAAGTCCGAGGAGAGGACTAAGATCAGCGGGAAAGGAAAGAAGAATCCGATGTACGGAGACAGCCTCCCACCTCCGCCTCCGAGACCCCCGACGTCTGAGGCGGAGAAGCCGTCGCAGCCAGCTCCCACTCCACAATCCGCCATCGAGCAAAAAGTTATGAAGGGGATCGAGGAGAACGTCCTAAAACTTCAGGAGCAGGACAGAGGAGCGCAGAGCAGCGAGGTGAAACAGAAAGCCTCAAACGGCATCGCAAGCTGGTTTGGTCTGAAGAAGAGTAAGCTGCCCGCACTGAGTCGCAAGACCGACGCCACCAAAGGAAAAGATGAGAAGAAAGAGTGGAAAATAAACATCCCCTCAGTGGGCAGAGACTCGGCAAAAATGGCCAGCAGATGCAAAGAAGGCGTGGAAGGCCTGAACATTTCCACTCTGATGGAGAAGGCTGAAGGCCTGAGGAGGGCCCTGGAGGAGGAGAGGGCCTATGTGGAGAGGTCCGGCAGGGGCCACTCCTGTGAGGTGGTGATGGACCAAGCTCAGGGACAGCTGGCTGTGATGTACAGAGGGGGGCGCTCCGACAACTTCATGCAACAGCTGCTTAACAGGTGAGGCTTGCAGGATACGGAGTTGGTTTCAGAAATTTGGGGAATGTGGTTTGTTTCTTTTTACTGAGATTAAAGCAGAAACCCACGCCTCCAGCCCTTTACAGGTTATCTCTGCACTTTGCTCCAGAGCCCAGTAAAATATACACAGTGTTCCACCCAATCCTTAAAATGGGTCTAAAGGACATTTATGGGCATTTTATTTTGGTCCGTTATAATCTAGATGTGACAAGAGATATCTTTTTCTTCATTTGTTTTTTTTTTAAAGATTTTTATTATTTTTACAATAATCTCAATATTAAAAAAAAGCTTCATGTTTTTTAAGCAAATCTTTAAAGTTTTTTTTACACCCAAACGTATTCATTCATACTTTTAAAAATTAAAATGTTTTATTTTAATCAGCCATATTATTCACATTAAAAAGTCCATCATTCATCCTGTCATTGCAGTGTTGATAATAAAATAAAATAACAATTTTTAACAGTGGAGCAGGCTTATTTTGCGTGGGGCATTAAAAAATAAAAACCAAAAATCTGCAGCCTGAATAGTTCATCTTTAAACAGCAGTTCCTGTAAATGTTATTTTAAACCACCATCATATTTGCATCAGAGCGTTATTTACATAGCAGGTTGCAGTTCTTCACACTGCAGATCAAATTAGCCTCTGGACCATTATAGCAACGCTACATCAGAAATATGCTGCAGCAGAGGAGGGTTGAGACCGTCTTTATTATAAGCGGGTGTGAGCAAAATGGAAACGCTGATCATACAACCAGAGCAACAACAACTCCTTTAATTAGTGCTGAATAACCGTTAGGTGACAATAAACACCAACAGTAAAACAATAAAAAAATGTTAGCACTAAAAGCTGATGAAGCATTTCTCTGCATGTTGTATTTGCAAACACTAAAACGTATCCACTAATGAGTTAGTTTGAGAAAGAAAAAGAAATGAAAATAATGTAACAGCGACTGCCCATGTGTTTTAGATGCAGGGCAGCCATATTGGATTTTTAAGGTTTGCACTTCCACAGCTTTCTGCAAATTTTGTGAATAACACAACAAGGAAAAGTCAATGTTTTATGATAGTTTTAAAATGTATTTGAAGATGTTTTGTACTTAAAAATCTATATCAACTAAGATGTTGCTTCTTTCAAAAATCATTCAATGTCTCGAGTGGATCTCTAATCTGATATAATTCTGCAGGTTTTTTGATGCTGAAATGTGTTTGAAATGTGTGTAAAGGAATCTCAGAGTGTTTTTTAACTTTGCTTTGTGGTCGAATGTAGAGTTGACGGGAAGGAAGTGATCAGCCTGCCGCAGCGCCGGCTCTCCTTCGACTGTAAGACGTCCAAGCCGGTGTTCACTCAGCAGACCAGCGTCATCAGTCACACCACCAGTCATGACGACATGGAGAAGGTTCCTTTTATAGCTCCTCTTCTTTAGTTTAGAATAGATTAAAAATAAACACCCAGGACTTTGATCAATTTATAAAAAAAAGTAAGCAAAAACAATCTGTATTTGAACCCAGCCTCAGAGTAAAAACTTGGCATCAGATTTGTACCAGCTGTATGCCAAACCAACTGCCCTGTTTTGTTTTTTTGTCATGCAGGGATCAGAGAGAATCAGCAAGATCACATCTGACGAAAACCTTGCAGATTCAGTTCACTCTCAGCACTTTGCAGGTACGAGTCGTGTGCAGGAAGTTTAAAGGTTTAAGAAATGTGTGATGATTCCAGTGCCTCCCTGACTGTTAAAGGCTTTATGTAGCATTTTCATCCATTCTTCTATTGCTTCAGGAGGAAAAACACATGCAAGGGAAGATTTGATTATTATAGTCTGCTTATTCAAGCTAAATGTTTGTGCTTTTTTTGTTAATCTTCCTCCTGCAGGCTCCGGTGCTTCCACATACACCCTGGACAGCGGTATTGGTACTTTCCCTCTTCCCGATTGCAGCAGCGGAGCCACGGGAAGGGGGCCATCCAAAACGAGGGCAGGAGCGGAGCATCAGTCCTCCGACTCCCCAGGAAGATCTGGACGGCGAGCTCGCACCCTGGACAGGGAGCTGACATCGCAGGAGGAATGCTTCGCATCGCACAAACAGCTGATCCCCACCATTCAGTACTGCTCCATGCTGGAGGGGAGGAGCTCAGCAGGAGTCATACGTGAAGGTGCCAACACTTCTTCCTCCCTTTTTGTTTTTTTAATGTTTGTTTTCTTACCTTATTCCTAGCTGACCATGATAACGGTTTCTCCTAAGTGTTTTCATTCACCCTGTCCTTTCTGTAGACAAGGAGGCCCACGGAGCCAACATGTTTTCTCCTCGCTCCAAGACCTGGACTTTCCCCAACCTGAAGGCTCCAGCAGGAACTGCAGAGGTGTACCTCGCTGTTGAGGAGGAGGAGGAAGAGGAGGACGTAGTGACGTTTGGATCGCCATTTAGAGGGGTGAGCACTGTGGATTCTTTTCCTCTTTCATAAATGGAAATGTGGAAAAATCTATTTTAATACATCTGAAAAAAAAAATAGATTCAGAAAATCACTGTAAATTTCTGTCAGTATTTAAAGTGAAAATTAGAAAATAGCTAATCAATACTTTAGTCACCTTTTGTTTTATTTTAAGCATGGCTTTATTCTTCTTAGATACAGCAAATGAGAATCCAGATTTCCTATTTTTTTTTTAAATCAAATTATGCTAAAAAAAAAGATTTTCGATGCATAAATGCAAGCCTACCAAAACAGAAATCATACGTTCTTCTTGTGCGCTTAGGACCAATGTGGGGCTCCTTTTTCATGAATTATTGCGTCAGTGTGGTGTAGCATGTATGTAATCAGCCCATGGCACTGCTGAGGTGCTCATGAAGTCTTGGTGGAGGATTCCAGTGCATAGTGTGTCCCAATCCTTCAAAGCAGTCTCTGGCCCCGCCCCTTATGCACCCTGAGCACACATGAAAGCGGGCAAAGTCATTGCTGCACCTGATGTTTGGAATAATTGGAATTGGGGGGAAGATCAAGCTTCTGTTCGATTTTAATGAACATATAATTCCTCGTAAATCGTTCACAAATCACAGTTTTTGTTTTTTTTCTCTAAAAGGATTTTCAGTCAATAATTCTTTTCATTTGTTTTATTGCTCATCCAGGGGAGAATTTGCAACAAAAAGAGAATTTTCATTAGATATCAGTGACTGAGGGGGTATTTATTGTGGAAGATTAATTCGATTTTAATACCAATTTTAAGAATATTTAACCAACCTAAATAAACATAATCTTAGACGATATGAAAAGCTATAACTCAAAAGTTAAATGCAATTATTAAAGTGTATAAATCACTGTTTAAAATATTCACATTTTTCTAACCTTCATAAAGAAAATGGAAATATTCCTGACTTAGACTTCATAATAAATTTATGGTTTAATAATAATAAACCTTTTCTGTTCAGTTATTATAAATAAGGACTTTGTATAGAAAATGTCACATTTATTATCAGTGACCCTCAATAATACTCGCTTTAAATATATTAAATGGACCATTTCTCCAATTTAAAATAGCAAACCAAAAGAATAACTGATATTAATACATTTTAAAGAAGAGATTTGAATTCAAAGTAGCTGAATCTTCACTTAAAAAGGAAAAAAATTGCCTTTATTTCCTTTATCTATCTTCTAAAGTACTGTGTTCCTAAATTACACAATTATCCTGATTGACAACATTTCTAATTTTTAATTGGCACATTGACTAAGTTGGTTTTTGATTTTCATATAATCACTGCTGTAAATGGAAAGTAGTTACACCTTCTTAAAATGGTTTTTTAATGAGTTTTAGATAATTCTCTATGTAAACAAAAAAAAAAAATTAAGAGTAAAATTTTTAAATGCCTTTATTTTCATTTTCTGTCTTCTATTATTTTAATCCAGTTAGACTTAATTCTCCCATAGCTTTTTCTTGTACATTCTAATGTGTATTTTTATATCATATCTCTTACTTAAGCTATGTCTTTTACACGAATAAGATTTTGTTTGACTTTTACTCCTTTATTGCGAAACTAAGGTTTCAAAAATGAGCTGTTGTTTCCAGGTGTAATTATCAAAATAATTAATATTTCACTGTACATGTGTGAATACAAAAGTGCTTCTTTTTGCAGTTATCTTTTTTCATTCATTGTAATCCATTCAATTGCTGCATTACTTGAACGTTTTGATTATATCTGAATCACTGAGATGCAGCCAAAGTACAATATAAAGTAGAAAAAAAGCTTTTCCTGCATTAAGATTTTAGCTTTAAGAGGATATATTTGCTTTAAACAAAGGCAGTATGAAAAAGGTGACACTGTATTCTGCTCTGCGTCTTATGTAATGCAAAAAACTCAGAACCACGTTCTCCCTCTCAGAAATTATTAATGACTTTAATATTAAAAATTCACAGATGCTAACCCAGTTTTGTGTTTTGCACCTGACATTGTTGCATAAAATGACAATAAAATGCTTCTCGCCCCTTTAGAACATGAAAGCCGGGGGCCCTTCCTCCAGCAGAGTGGTCGACCCGGGCAGCCTGCCCGTCCCCGCCCAGCCCGGGCTGAGCCGGAGAGGAAAGACCCGCACTCCCAGCGTCCCGGAGATGAGCCGGGAGGCAGGGCTGGAGCTGCTCAGGGAGCGGCCCGAGGAGGCGCTGTCCCCGAGCCGCCCTCAGGTCCTGGAAACTCCCGAGTCCCTGAGCGATTCCCTGTACGACAGTCTGTCATCGTGCGGCAGCCAAGGATGATAACGGGCGAGGACGGAAGGAAGGGGGGGCAGGGGGCCCACCTGATGCTGCTGACACCTTAAGGAGAACAAACAAACTGTGCTTTGCTGTCGTTGGTTAGGAGTAATCTGTGGCGACTTGTCAGCTGTTGCAACTGGAAAGACGGATTGATCTCTTCTCCTCAGGATTTCTAAAACACACGTAAAGCCAAAAGACGCCCAAATAATTTACATTGCTCACTTTTACAAAATCAGACTTGACTGTGGACACTTCTCTTGAACGGACACATAACAAGACTTAAAAAAAAACAAAAAAAAAAAAACGCATGGCCAAGCTAAAGATCAGCACAAGAGGTTGTCACTCCTGCTAGTCTCTCAGAAATGCTTTTATTTTCCTCATCCTGGTAGAAGAACTTTAATTGTGTTCATCATGACAGCGGTTCAGTAGACAAAGTACTGTTTTGATGCATCCGTTCATTTCTTGACATCATTTCACCGTAAAGTGTGTTAAGAAAAAGATTAGAAAAAAAAAAGAACCATGGAGCGCTTAGAAAACTTAAAAAAAAAAAAAAAAAACAACAAAGAATGTTCATGTCTGTGTTCTCTGGTTGCTTAAATCATGCATCATAATGTTTAATGTAAAAATAATTTTATTGATCACATTGGTATTGTTTCACAGCCAGAGACATGTCTGTTTCTGAATCATAATGCATTTAAAAGGTAATATATACCAGCAATAATCACATGCAGAAGGAAAAACAAAAAGGCTACATCTTTTGATTGATATGTATTTTTTATTATTTATTTATTTGAAATCTTCATCTGGAGTCATCTTTACGTGAAAATTGCAGTCATCTTCGCCGAGTAGATTCAGCTCAGATCTTGTTTCACCATCTCCGCCATTTGTTTCTTAGCAAATAGAAGATCCTTACTGCCGTTTTTTCAACTTTCTAAATAAAAGTGTTTTGATTTAGTTTGTGTTTCCTGCCTTTTATTTTTTCCCTAAAGAAGTCTGCACATGCAGTCTGGAAAGGTATCCTAACCCTCCATCTATTATTCTCTCTCTACTCTTTCCACCATTCATCCCTCATCATTCTATCTATACATCAGCTTGTTTATCATCCAGTCATTCCTCCGTCCCTCTTCTTCCTTCCCCTCTATGGATCATGCAGGTCCAATATTTAATTTCTACCCATTATGGAAATGTGCCATAAATAAATCATAAAAGTCTTGCATTTCGCTTTTAAAAGAACTAGGACTCAGTTTTTGACATGAGTAATGTGTTTGAAACCAGTAATTGGTTTAATAGTCTATTCTGCAGCACTTACAGATGGGTGGTAGTGATGTTACAGGCAAATAGCTTAACATTAAGCATTAAAGACTGATCATAGAAGACATCTGCATTTCTGTGCTTTGCTTTTATGCACTTAAAGTCCAATTTACTCGAAAATTCAGATAAATGGCATACACTGGACATATGAGGATCTAATTTAATGTTACTATGCATTTAATTATTTTTATATTCTCATGTTCTAGCTCTGGAGTATGTCTTAAAACCAGCTTAATGCTGCCCTCTTAAGGTTGAACGATGACTATTGCAGTTTAATTTTCCTATTAGTTCAAACTGCATGTTTTCATAATTTCCTGCGTCCAAATATATATTTGGACGCAGGAAATTTGCGCCTCTGCTGCCTTGCTGTTATGAACTTGAAGTTGGCAGCTCAAACTGATAAAACCTTCCTCCACCTCAAAGGTTCTGTCCTGACGTAATTAACAGCGTCCCTCTGCTTACCGCCTATGCTTTAATATGGCGAAGCTAGCTGCCACTTTCTCTCAACCTGAACACAACCTCACTATATTAGCCCCGCCCCTCAGGGTTTCTCTGCAATAACCCCTTTGGTGGCATCTTTCAAACTTGATCTGGTAGTGGAGTTTTTTTGTTTGTTTGGGGGGGGTGAGTTGCACTTTAAGTTACTGTTTGGAAATTCATCTACTGGGACTAAAAAAACATTTCAGATTCAGGTGTGAAGTATCAATATATTTACCTTAAAATGTTGACTAAATATATTGTTTTATTTTCCCAGGCAAACACTTTTGGGGATTTTAACCTGTTTTCTTTCCTGCTTTTGTAAAATAATCAGTTTCGATAATGGGTAAACTTTGATTCAACAGACAGCTTCCACCATGGGTGGCCTGCTGATCAGCACTAGAGAGGAATATTTAATCCCATTGAGTTTGTCCATTTTCTCTCTTGATCAGAAGTTTGAAACCCTTTTTCTAAACCTTTATCATGCCAGTGAATCTCCTGCAGAGACAGCCCCATGTTTTTAAAATGTATTTGAACCAAACTACCTCCAGTCAGAGGTTAGCAATGGTTTATTTTTTTCTTGTTCCCTGTTCTCCAACCCAGTTTATATCTACCGTAATTAACTAAAGTTAACCCACAAACAGAAACATCCTAATTTTTTTTACGTAGAGCAGAAGACAATTGTTTTTCTCAACCCAAGCTGACAATTTTTCATTTTACACCAAGAATGCGGAATAGAATTTAAATGCATAGACATGCAGCTGACTGGAAAGGAACCTGTTTGACCACATTTTGCAAAAATCCATGTTCAGTGTTAGCTCTGTTGAATGAGCCTCTTGAAAGGGGTTTAAATTAGTTTCTCATTGTTTGGAGCAATGACTCATCAAGCATTAAGGAGTTCCAACAATTTAAACTCTGAACTTCACACAGATACAAACTAGTTTAGATAATTGTTTAATACAAATAATCTTACACAATTCTTCTATGAACTGATCTAAAGAATAAAACAAAACGTTCATTACTTTGCTAAAGATCTAGCTTTTGGTTAGAATAGTTTTCTCAAATCAGCCTGCAGGGAATTTAAATACTATATCCATCCTGTATTTTATAAGTCCTGATCAAACGAAAAAGGAGGAAGATCAAGTCCATTCAACACATTTATTGAGCAAATGTATCAAATTAGTAGTTTCCATTATACATCAAAAAAAAAAAAAACTTCACAGTTTACACTTACAAAGAAAAAAGGAATTTTGCACTGATGCCAAATTGCCTGGTTAACATCATTATTTGGCAGAGTTATGCTTTAACAGCAGATTATAGGGAAGTTTTACAAGAGGCCGGTTCCAGAAAACCGACCTGTTATACAAGCTGGGAAAGAATTAAGAAAATGGGACAGATGGCACAGTCTCCCAACATGTCTAAATTCATAAACCCGTCCATCCAGAGACTGTATGTCCATCTAGTTGGGTTTAATGTAATGTTGCGTCTTTTGTATGAACATTTCTAAACACAAAAACAGACATTTGATTTAACTAAACAAAAAACTAAGACTTTTTCTTTAATTCATGGAGCACTAATCTTATATTTCACTACAGTGAACTGAGGAATAACTATAAATAAGCAATCAAACAAATTAAACTGTATTCAGCTTCCATAGCTTAAATTAGCTTTTAAAATGAATCCGTGTTAATTTATGGCACTAAATAACAGTAATAGAAACTTGATCAAGCGCTGCTCAGCTTCAGGGTGTTTGTTAAGCAACGCTCCCCTCTACAGGCCAAGCTGGATCACTGCAGTGTTGTGTTTCCATTCACAGCCAGGGTGGAACTACCAACCAAAGTATCACATTTGTACAATCAACCCTGGTTATTTTTCAAAAAAAGTCAAAGAAATCCCCCCCCCTAAAAATTAAAACATAAGACCACATAAGAGTTTAGATTGAGAAAAGGAGAGAGTAAAAAAGCACCAAGTGCATAGCAAATTGTGCCTTTTCTGATTTTATATCTACTGCTTCTCCATCCACTTTTACTTCTTTTCCTTCTTCTTGTCCTGGAAAAAAAAAAGAAAGTTTCATGGCAGATCATCACATAATACTGGAGTTTAAAACCTTTTTGAGTTTCATCAAAATTAACGAAACCCAGTGTTTCCAAAGTGAGTCAACATGTCAGCTGAGGGAGATTGCTGTGGTTTATAGGATAGAATCCAGCCTGGATTGTATCTAGAGCTGCACCAACAACTCCCTCCACTCAGCTCACTTGAAGAAAACTCCCAAGTAAACTTTTTTTTTCAGTATCAGAGAAGCTATTAAACATTTGCAGGAAGCAGAAATGAAAGATGCCATTAAAAGGAAATCAGACTTAGGGGATAGGATAGTTGCTTTTAAGCTTTCATCCTCAGTCCATTAGAAAAGCTGCTAACCTTTTAGAAATCTAACAATTAGGGTAAGCATTATAAATTTGGGCTTGGATATGTTTGGGTTATGACATCAAAAACATGATTTTTAATGTTAAAATGTTGTATTCATTTTGAAATAGCGGTTAAACCCAATTTAACACTAACTGCTCTCAAACACAGACAGTTAAATGGTAATTTATACAAATTTTGTTTGTAAAAAAACAAAGCATGCTTAAACTATCTGAATGCTGTACTTATTGTGGTTAAGAATTATTGAAGAGAAGCTAGAATAAGCTAATTAATGCACAGTAGAGCTTCACAAAATGTTAAGATATTAGTGTTATTAAACTCCATCTACTACCTCTGTGTTCCTTCATTAAAACGTTTAATCTTCTTGATGCAAAGAGGAGCAGCTGAGTTTTCACGTCTCTTATCATATTTAAGGTATAATAAGGAGTCATCAGGTCCTAGCAACAGCTCTACAACTTCAGCAGTAATAGTTGATGTTTAAGGTCACAAATGGAAGAACTCAGTCAGCTTTGTATGTCTTTGGTTCAGAAATTAGCCGCCCACCTTCCACTAACCCTGTATATGACCGACTGAGTTAGGAGGTAAAACTCACTTCACCTGCTTTATTAGAAAAAGATTAAAGTTAATGTCTTTTAGTCATTTTCCAGGGTTTTTACCAGTGCTTCCCAATCCTGGGCCTCATGGACCCCTGCCCTCTGTGTTCTAGATAGGTCTCTGTTCTTTTAAATAAATAGATTTTTTTTTTTTTTTTAAGTCTTTTAATGCCTTGGCCCCTCCCTACCTCTCTGAGCCCCTTTACCCCTCTGCTCCCACTCTGTGCCTCACGCCAGCTGGCCTGCTCCTCCTGGAGGTACCGAGGTCCAAACAGAAGCTCAGAGGAAACAGAGCTTTTTCAGTTGCTGCTCCAAAATTGTGGAATCATCTCCAACAATCCTCCTTGATGGCTATTTTTTTAAACTTGTCTTAAAACCTATTTCTATTCTTTGGCTTTTAACACAGCATGAGACTCTCTCTGTTTTAGCGTTTGTGGCTTGTTTTTTTTTTTGTTTTTTTAAATCGGTTTTATTCGTTGTAATTCATTTATTTTATTAGATTTGTTTTATTCCTTTAAATTTTGTTGTTTTTATACAATTTTAACTTTACCTGATATGTACAGTGCTTTCTGGCAGCTGCGGCTGTTTTAAAGGGCTTTATAAATAAAGTTTATAAAGCACACCTAGTTCAAATCAGGGCTCCTCCTTTGCAGACAAGTGCTGCAGAAAACTGTTAATCATTCCTTCTTTTCTGATGTGATGCAACAAGGAAACACCTAAAACAAGCAGGGCAGGGGTCCCTGCGGAACACGGTTGGGAACCACTGGTTTATACATAATAAAAATTTACTTTTAAATATTTTCATTTGTTCTTTTATAAATTTTATGCAGGCTAGATGAACAAAATAATTACACGTTTCCGTTGGTTCGGTTAAGAAGTTATAAGAAGATCTTGTCGAAATTGAGATTTCAATTTCAGACAAACAAAAACCAAAAAAAAGGCCCTAAATCATTTAACATGCATGAACTGTGTGTTTAGATAAAATGGGTTATGTCACTTTATTTTCATGAATAGTTTGCTGAGTGGCGGCAGAAGTTATTTACTCTGAGTAAATAAGACTGAAAGTATGAACAAATATCTACTTTGCGTCAGCTGAGTGAAAAACATTTTCATATGAAACTCCAGCAATGCTCCATCATCATTTGGTAGATTTTAAGTCTTTCTGAGAAAAGGTTTCTGTACCTTATCATTCATGGCCAAGATGATCATCAGTTTTCTGAAGATTGTGATGAAATCCAGGAACAGGTCCACACAGTGCCTTCAGCGACAAAACAGACACATTAGGTTCATTCCTACAAATGGTGACTCTTAACTACAGCACAATGCTTTTGCATGTCATTTGGTTAGGGAAATAAGGTAAGAAGGTGTGAGTGAAGCATGTCAACAGCAGATAGAGGTCCTCACCACACGTAGTCCTTATCTCCATTCTCTGCTTTCTCAATGATGAGCTGAGTGTCGAAGAGGACAAAGCCGCACATGACGAGCAGCCCGAGGTACAAGTGGGCCTGAGGGAGATGGAGACAAAGAACCTGATGAACCGCTATAACAGATACCATTACCCAGGAAAACACTGTAGAAGATTTGGTTTTAAATTAATGATAATTTGCTTCCCTACATGTACAACCACAGAACTTAAAGGAGCATTGCACAACATTGAAAAGTAAAGATTATTTTTCTTTCTCATAAATGCCCTTAAAATTTAATTAGTATCTGAAGAAGAAAGTAAAGCTTATTTTCCAGAGCATCGAAAATCTGCCAAATAGTCTGAGTGGGACGGATTAAGATGGGAATAAATATTCAGGCAGCTTTCATCAAAGATGGAGCTCAGAGCTGCTGTGGGAATGGCCGTCCTTTCGCTACAAAGGTAAGATGCTTAGTACAAAGCAACTTTCTTACCTTGGATTAAAATCCAGCTTAAATGAAAAACACCTGTGCATTCCCTATGTTGCTTTAAAGTTATTTTCAACATAATGTATACTATAATAACAGAGATGGAAGCAGTGTACTTTGGCATAATAAGATTATGAATAAAGAACAGAGTTTCTCTGGAGCAAACCCTAGTTTGGTAAACAGGAGGAACGACAGAGGTGGCTTTTTTTGTTTAATCAGTCAAAACCCTTTAAAGAGCAACAGAAAGACAGAACAAGCCTTTCATTGTTTTGACTGTAGGAGGAAATTTGAGTACCCAGAGAAAATCAATGCATGCATGGAGAGAACATGTGACCTAAATGAGAAAAGGTTGTCTCCCAGGACTGCTAAATGTTAGCATTTCCCTAGGAATGTTAAAAATGTTAACCCACTGGACTTTGTACATCTAACTGAACACTCTGGAGGCGATTTCTACATTAAACTGATAATCTAAACATTTTATATGTTGAATGCAAGTTCAGGCATTATGGAAAGTAAACCCACTAAAGTCTCTATAAAGGAAAAGTTGCTGCAGAAAACATCTAGATGCAGGTGAGAGTAGAGCTCCTGTCCAGGGAGTAGTAGAGTAAACTAATGGAGCTGGAGGTCAAAGAGCTTCTTGTAAAACATTAATTTGTTGTGAAACATTTATAAATGTTTCCATAGATATTCATTAGTTTGCTCATGTTTTACACTGTCAAAACCGATAACTGATCACAAGAAAAAAATTCCCTGAGATGTTTTAATTTGCCTTTAATCAGGAGGTAAATACAAAGATGTACCTGCTTCTTTCAATGGAATTAGTATTTTTCCCTTAAAATAAGATATTGTAGTAATATATTATGAACTTGAAATAAGATAGGGTTGCTTCTCCTTATTTAAAATGTTAATTATTATTTCAATAGCACATTTTTTTACTTAGTGGTTAAAATCAAGCAAAATATTCTTATTTAACGAAAAATCAACTTACTTTGGTTTAATTTTTGCAGTGTACCACATATTGTAAAAACAATTGATATCTATGTTAATATTGTAATATATAAATTCCTCCATTTCAGCATTAGCACCACTTGGGTGACTTTCACTCATTTGCTACATAATAGTTACACAACATAACATTTTGCATTATGATTAAGACTTGCAAATTAATCAGAATTTGTTTATTTCAGCATAAATATCCTTTTTATCAGCTGCAATCTTAATCTTCTCGTCATTCTCTCATGAGGCAATCAGAATAATGTCTGTAGACTAAAGAACCACTTATCAGAGGTTCTTGTCTCTATGAGAAGAGAAGATACAATTTAATGAATACTATTTGAAGTCGGGAGTGTTTTATACGTGCGTTAAAGTCTTACTGAGATGGTTTGACAATCCAGATCTTGAAATGTTGGTATTCTTTTAAAACTCTTACAACCGATAGATCCTTACATCTTTATTTAAAGCAGAGACTTATTTTAGTTATTCTAGCTGGTGCATATCCAATCACCAGGAGAAGACAATTTGTCTTGTTTAGTCAGCATGTTGTTAGATAAAACAATCAGTCATTCAGGATGACACGGTTATGCTTCTCTCGATATGGGTTTATATGCAAACATGAATGTGATGAGTAATAACAGATATAGTCGAGGTGAGGTAGAAAAATCTCAGTGTGCTTCTCTAATCACCTTGAACAACATGACAGATCCGAAGAAGAGGTTCATCAGAGACATCAGGAAGAGAATGGAAAGGCCAGACATCAGTGTGCCTAAGACAAAAGGAAATGGGTTCAGGGTGAATGTATAACACTTTTTTTTTTTTTTTTAAGTGTTCTTGTCTTGTTTGATAAACTTTGCTTCATATTTATTATTGTGTTTCTAGAATGGATAAGAATAACGGCAGAACTGTTCTTTACCTCCCAGGAACAGGTAACTTCTGCGTTTTGCATAGAGAGCACTGAGAGTGAAGCAGATGAAAATCACTGAGGTTCCCAAGAAGGCCGTCACGATGATGCTGGAAGGAACCAAACCAGGACAAGGACTGAGTAAATTCAGCTGTCGAAAGCTCTGAAGGCTTGTCTTAATGTTTGACAGGTGCACTTTTTAACTTCCATTCTACGGGCACACATTAATCTCTGACATACCTTGGATTGATAGCAATGACAAAGTCCATTGTGGGGCCAAGGCCGACACCTGGAGAAGGAAAGACGAGTGTCAACACTGCTTTGAACCATGACACAATTACAGGTTAACTGCTCAGTGTCTCCAAATGAACAAAGGAAATCTATCAGCCTACCTGTGAGGAAGGCAAATGCAGCGAGGATTCCCAGTCTCTTCTTCTCTGTTTCAGGGCTGTGAGGGGTCATGGCGAGCCAGAACATCATTGCCAGGGAGCCGAGCACAGAGAGGAATCCGCCCTGGAAAACCGGCACAGAGCAGAGTCATCTTACAGCCGTAAAATATGTTGGCAGATTCTTACTATGTGTATAAGTTATCCTTTAAAATAGTTTAACGCTTTTTTTTACTCACTATGTGATTAAAGTTGGAAAGAAATTTAAAAAGCATGAATCCCCGTTAACAGGGAGACTTCCTCTCCACTGTCACTACATGCATGCTCAGTATAAGTGATCGAGTCTCATCTGCATGATTTGATTGAATCGACTTTAAAGTTTCTAGAGATGTTTGTTTTCAAATGGAGCTACAAAAATAAACTAAAGTAAATGAACAAGTAGGCCTCTAGGAAATGTTATCACATGATTCATCCTTATTTTTTTTTATGCGTTACAATTTAATTATCATACAGAAGCACTCACAGAACCCTTTGGCTACTTGAACTAGAGAAGTTTACAGCATGTATAAGGATCTTATTGTGAAGGTTAGAAGAATGCTATGTCTCAGTACATCTGTTGCATAGATGCATTTGTCAAAATATAAAATGGTCATCAGTTTTCTGCACACAGAAAACATTATTTCAGCTTTTTCCCTTTGAAATATAATTAGATCACCTGACTTTTGGGGAAGCCAGGTGGAGACTGATGGCGAATTTATCAGCTCAGCTGGATAATTTGCATAGTCTACAGTACCGTGCCTGTCTTTTTTTGAAACTGCTCACACATAACGGATTTGCACAGATGGCACACTAAAACAATGCTTTTAAGTGCTGCTGTGGTAGTTTGCAATATGATATCACTGAAGAAATGCATCTTATGTCAGAAAACAAGAATTTGTTAATAATCAATCTGCATTAGACAGATATTAGACATAATCTAAGACCCAATAATCATGAATTATTTAAAGGTAGATTTATTACCACACAAAATGTGGCCTCTTTAGTTTGCTTTCACTTTTCAGAAATAAATGAAGTCACCATGTTTAGAAATATCTTCACCTAAACCAGTCCAGACGTGTCAGCCCAACTACACTGGACATCTGAATGTTTATATTCGCCACTAATCCATCAGTTACAGAGGTTGGAGGTGCAGCCTGAGTGGACTGTCACTTTTTAACTGGAGCTAAGGACAGAGGCCTTATCTGGCCAGATCTGCCTTCTCTACACATATCTATCAGTAACCTTGGCTGCCCATAAATCTGTCTCTAGGCAACTTGTTTTCAATCCACAAGATCGTCTTTAGTGATGGTTGACTGCTGCACAATCACAAAGTTTTGAAACTGCCACAACCCATCCTCATTGGTTTCTTAATAATACTCAAACACTCAAATCTAATCTAGTCCACTGTTTGAAAATGATAATATACAAAGTTAACCCATTTTTTCTTTTAAAAAATTTACTTTAAACGGTCATTACACTCTGGACGGGGGCGTGATCAGCAAGACTTTTAGCCCATTGAAAATTAACTTTAAAGGTTCTCATTAAACAGAAATAACAATTAAGTTTGCCCCATACATCCAACTCAATTGCCCCGTTTTCTCGTGACTTTAAAAGCTCAGCCCGCTTCAACTCTTACCTACCTGCAAGAGACGTGTGACAACGTGAACATATGAGCCCGCGGCTGCCACAAACATACAAACAGCCAAGCTGGAGTACACATTCTTTAGGTGCACCTGGGTTGAGTGAGAGCTGCAACGAAGATCACAACAGAAAAGGTATGAGAGATGGCGACACCAGTTAAAACATATGACCGTCCGTCACACACCGAAACGAAAGCAAGCTTACATACATTTGGGAGAACCTGAAGAGTGCATCAATGTTGATGTTGCGGTCAAACGCGTTCATGATGAGATCAGGTATGCAGGATCTAAAGGTTGTTTTGATCCAGCGATGTCACCTGTGAAGTGAAAAATCGAATTAAAATGCTACTTTATTAACCTGTGATTGCTATCAAACAGCCATAAAGCTGAATATTAAATCACAAATTTCTTACTTGTAAATAAGGAACTGTTTTGTAACACATACACACACTATGGCTTTTGAGGAATCTGTCTTTAAAAAAGGTTGGGATGGTAAATCAATTTAATGAAATTATATTAATGATGATAGAGGATACTTTTTATATCCCGTATCTCATCTCTGTTTTTAGTCATCTTTCATAAGAGTTGCTATCTATTGCATGGGACTGCAACCGAAAGGCTAAATACTACTTATCATACAAAATATAAACTAACAACACTTAAATATAATCAGCCAACAATAATTTCATTTAAAAAACTCTATTGATGCAATCATATAAATGATAAAGATGGTTGTTTAAATAGTCTATGAGTAAATTGACATACATACATATATAAACATATATTAATATCAATTAATGTTTTGATGTAGGGCCATTATAAGCATTTTCTGTTACACTTTAAGTATTCTGAATTGCAACAATCATGATTTTAACTGCCGTAAATAACGATTTCGTTCCATATTAAAAAATAAAGAAGCATTTCAAGTGTCAATCACAACTATAGCTAAGTATAAATTCAACATGCTAAAAGCAGTTTAAACAAGACGGTAAACTACAGGTTATTATCAAATATCAATGGCTGACTATCCAATATCCAAATAGAGAGAGCTAAGAAAAGACACACAGACTAGCTAACGTTTAAACTCGGCTGGCAGACGAAACTAAACGACTAACTATAAAAATTTACCCTTCTGGGTCTAATAATACAATCAAGAGAATGCTGACATTGTATCGAAAGACTACTGTAAAGAGAATGTTCTAATCCAGCCACCCTTAAATAACGCCGTAAGCTTAGCTACAATGCTAACGGTGGCTAAATCTGTCAAAACAATTCGACGTCTTCGGGATTTTTCAAACGGAAGTCCGTCGCTAAACCGTCGGTGAGATTATAGCTATCATTAAAACTCACCAATACATAAGAACAACGACACATGGATGTAACACACCTACCTGGTAGTACGTTCAGAGCAGTTGGGGAGCTTTCCTGGGGAGCTGCTACAGTTTGTTAACAAACCAGTACGTGTCAGTCAGTTCTGGTTAGCCTGCTGATGTCACCATGGAAACACCCAGAAGACTTCACCGCGCTGAAGTCGGCGTTCGATTTGTTCTTCAGTAAAGTGCAATTTCACAGTGAAGCACTAGAGGCCATCTGTGATCGGCTGCAGTATAACAACTAAAATGCTAAGGTTGGTCCACAGGAAATTATATTTCACCAATTCAATATGAATTTAAGAAATGCAGTTGGTGGCTTGTAAAAACTCAATTCAATTAATGAAAAACTAACAAAATTAAGTTCTTGAGGGCCTCATAATCGAGATTTGTGAATTCAAAATAAGTTACGTTTCAATCTGGTTTATGCCAGGTTACCCTTAATCCTTAATCGGGATCTGGCTTGAAATCATAACATATAGATAAACGCATTTTACGCTTACAAAGAAGATTTTAAGCTATCTCTGTAGCCAGAACATCACTAAAACCTGGGATGAGCAATAGTCTCTGGCAGCAGTGGCGCCTCCAGAAATGTTTCATAGAGGGGGCCAGATGGGGCCTCTAAAAATCTTGGAGTGGAACACTGAAACTACTGAAACTAAAAGCCATAGTTTCAGGGTTTTAATCTACTGTTGTGGTTAACCTGCCTGTAGAATCATAAAAACCTAAGTAAACACCCACTCTTGGTTTATTGTGTGATTTACTAATGTTGCATCACTGACTGTGAATTAAGTCATGAAATGCTAAACTGATGCTACTAAATTTACACTGGTGAGTGGGGTGGCCAGGGTATTGCACAGGGTGTTGCCACTGTTTGGCAGAGCTAGAAGAAATTTACCAGTGGAGGAGCAATGGTTGAAAAACAAAACAACCACCAGGGCAATCAATTTGTATAACAAGTTAGCCACAGAGCCACAGTTGTAGACCAATGATTTAACAAATGAAAACCATTATCTTATCTTGTCTGCTTATCTTGTTCTGTATGTCTGCTTCTGTCTCCTTGAACCCCAGTCGGCCTTTGCAGATGGCCGCTCACACTGAGCCTGGTTCTGCTGGAGGTTTCTTCCTGTTAAAAGTAAGTTTTTCCTCTCCACTGTCGCTACAAGCATGCTTAGTGTGAGGGATTGCCTGAGTCGATGCAATTAGCTGGTTTTCCTTACATAGAAAAATTTGAATTAATTTGACTGTATGATCTGGTTGAATTGCAAAGTACCTAGAGATGACGTGTTGTGAATTGCCACTACATATATAAACTGAGTTAAATTGAATCTTAATATGGTTAAAGCTTTAAAAATTTTTTAAATAGCCCTAATATTTAAAGGTGAAATATTGAAATGTTCCAACTGACTTATCAGTCCATACTCAGTCTAAGTTTGTCAGTGCATCATCATAAAAAAATTATTTGGCATTACATTGTAAAAAAAACTGATCTAGAAGAGTTAAATATTTATAAAGCCAGTACATTTACCCACAATTTGTGCAGGTAAATAAGATTATCTGCTAATGAAATGAGGATTGTTGCTCTTAACATAAGATACCTCCAATCTGTTATAATACAGCTACTGAAGCTATAGTCGTACTAACTGTGCCATTTCCTGTCTGCCTACTTTCATAAATGATTAAATCAAGGCAGCAAGAGCCTACAAATAATCTTAAAAAAATCAAAAATAACAATGTTAGATTTTATACACTTAAATTGAAGTTGGAAATTGAACCATTCAAATTTTTTTCGAATTTAAGATCTCAATTCGAGACTAGTTTAAGTTAGACCTTTCTTTGAATTGTTTTTTTTCTACAGATAAAACCTTTTAATTGTAAAAATGCCAAAAATACCATTCAAAAAGCAACATTTCTTTAAAAATAATAATAAAAGGGCATATTAAAAACGATGTTTAACAATTTTAAGCGGAGTTAAAAGTAATATTTAATCAGTATTGAATAATTTGCTCATTCAGATTATAACTAGTGATTACATCAGTTCGGGAGACTAAACTAGTCCTTACGGAAGCTACAAATCTGACACCAACTTCAGCCTCATATAGAAGCAGTGACGTCCCTAATTGACGCGTTCAATAAAACACAACAACCAATATATTTGTCGCTTTTTGGGGGTTAAAAAAGGCTCGTGGAATCAAATTTATGTTTTTTAGAACAGAGCCTCTATTTATTTACGAATATTTCCCCCACTTCCTGGAATGTTGCTCAGAACGTCCAACTAAAATGGCCGTCGCTTCAATGTAACCTGAGAAAGAGAAAGAACACAATTAATCACCTAACTCTGACATCTGTTTCTGTTTTTAAATGTCAAATATTTTCTCACAAAAGGTTTTAGTTTTACCTTATAAAAAATATAAGCTATTTAAGAATTTATACTAGCAGGAAAGTTGAGTTTATGACGTGTGACGTGTAAAATCCTAAGTATCACTTTCATTTTGAATTAATTTTCATAAATTGAGATTCAAGTTTAATATAAAGCATTAAATTTATGTAAATGTTGATTTATTTTTAGATGATACAAAAAAGTAATCACAAAAATAGATTTTAACTACACTACTGATGTTAATAAGCAATATCAGTTTATATCAAAATTTTATTTTTAATGTTAAGTGTGAAAAGCAAATTATAAAGAAGAAAAGAAAAGTAGTTTCATTTTTATATAGCTATTTAATGTTTGATAACACGTTTATGATTAGGAAATCTATTTACAGAAACAAAATACTATTGAACAAAAAAGATTTTTGTTTTAAAGTTAAAAATATTAAATTTGAATATAACCATTATTTCTTTTTTGTGGTCAAAAAGAATAAATTTAAATGGTTTCTCTGTTGTTGTGATTTTATAATTTTTCCTCTTGAATAACCAAAATAAAGACTTTCGAATTTTTGCACACCCTTTATAACACTAAAATAAAAAGTATTTATATTTAATCCTTTGCACTATACCACTTTGCTTTTTCAGTACTTGTTTACGTAAAATCCAAATACCAAAACCTGCAAGAATCATAAACAGACAGTTGATGTAAAGAAACACATACAAAGAATTCAAAATATAACCAAATTTTTTATTTCAAAATCAAATTTGGCAGCACCTTTTTTTTTAAGGGTTTTGGTCAGATCAGGTATAAAAAAATTATTCAAAAACATTTTTTTTCCGCAACAAACAAAAGACTTGAGACTTCTTCAAATACTTTTGGTCATCACAACATACATTTCCACATTTGACTCATTAACATGCAGGCAGTAATTGCATTGGACAAACATTGTAAAGACCGTCCTACCGAAGAAAAAAAAAACACACACAAACTCATTACAAAAATACGTACTGCGTTACAAATGAGTAAAAAAGAGATTTAATTCCAGATTCACGCTTGCTTGTAAATTACATTTACCATAACTGAACAGGTTTGAGTATTCTTTTTTTATCAGCAAAAGGTGTTATATAGGCACGAATAAACAGTGAAAACACAAGGCCAGCCTCAGTATAGGCAGAACGGATCACAATATAAAATGCTGGGCATTAAAAAGTGTTGGACAATTATGTTTCTATTGGCCAATAAATATATAGAGGAAAATAAAAACACTTGGCAGTTTAAAAATATCAAATTTGATAGCTTCAAGTGTTGTAATGCAAGTACCACAGCGGCTGGCATCCCCCCACCCCCCCTTTTTGCTCCTGACAGTGTTTTTTTTCTCACGCTCAGCATGACGTTATCAGGGTGTGCAGTTCTCAAAAAAAAATAAAAAATAAAAAATCTCTGCTCAGGCGGAACACTTTTCTCTCTGTCCCGTTTCCAAAGGCACAGTTTTTACTTTCAGCACTGTCGATATAATACAAGTGCAACTTATTTGTCATTTGGAAAGAAAGGAAAATACAGCAACCAATGAAGATCTGTCTGAAAACATTAAGGATCATCCCATGTGCCAGCTTATCCAGTGTAACTGTTAACGCACCACCAGAGACCTCGTTCTAATTACCCAACCCGTTACCAATAATAACAATCTGAACATTCATTATTTATATTGCATGTTTTGAAGAAAAAAAAAAGAATATGGTGTTTACAGCACAAATGAATAATATCTGCTTTGTTTCGACGTAAATAAACATACAGCAACATTTACAGTGGCACGAACAAGTATTCACCCCCTTACAGATTTCTGCTGTTTTTGCTTTTTTGTCTCAATTGAATTCGGAACTTCCTCTTTGGAAGGGCAGGATCAACACCTATGAAGTGACAACTGGAGGGGAGTTGTTTTTTTTTTTTTTTTTTACAGCAATGTAGAGGTATTTTGGTCCACTTTGGAGAATTATTTTAATGTAGCCATTAAGCTAATGCTATGACATCTTGTTTGGATGATTGTGCTGAAGGTCAAGAACCAACGGATATAGATTATTCTTCTGGTTGTATTGCTAAAAAGAATAATCATTCGCTCCATTAATCACAGCAAGTCGTCCCAAACAGTCCCAGACCATAATATTACCTCTACATGATTGTCTTTGGAAGAACCCCCAGATTCTGTGTTGATCTGAACCTGATCCAACTAAACGTTCCCATTGTTCCCAAAGTCTTGGGGTTAATCAAGATGCTTTAGGTGGAATCTGATGGTTGGAGGATCCGGAAAGTGGCCTTGTTTATACCACAGGCCTAGAATGATCAACCCTGTCAACCAAACCTGCCAGCAGCTCTGAAGTTTGCAAAAAGTTAAACTTCTGGCTCCAGTCAACAAAATGTTTGCTGAAGCCTTGGGAACCCCTCAGGACCATGGAGATCTCCCATTTAAGTCATCTGCCCAGACTCTCTCACATATAAAGATATATGTATATATAGATATATATCAGAACTGGGTGTAGCAGGTGAGATTATTTTCAATTGCAATTGATAAATTGGTCTCCAAGTTGGTTTCCGCTGCTTTTTCTCCCTTAAAAAATCATGATCCACATTTCCTAATGTTATTTCTGTCTGGTCTAAAAAAACTTGTTCTGAAACGTTAATTGAAACCAAAGGAAAAAGTAGAAGAAATCTGTAAAGTGGCTGAGACTTTTTCTCAGAAGTGCACATCTGCCAACCACAAGAGGTACAACATGTTATTACCGAACTGGGTTGCATAGAGAAACAATGTTCAGCATTTAAAAATAGATTTCCTTGCACAAAAAGGAATCTATAAATGTATAAAAATCTGGTGGAATTAAAAAAAAGTTTTTTTTTTTACTCTTGTTCCTTAAAAGGCACAATAAAGCAAACTGTGTCCAAAAGTCAATAGAGGGCAGGCAGATGTCTGCTTTGGCAAAAGATCCATTTTCGTTTCTATACCAGCTGGAGTGATTGTGATGGGATGGCTTTGGTTGACTCCCAGTCTTTCTTGTAGTGATTATTTTATAAAGAAAAAAAAAAGTGGTTGTGGATATCACCAGGTTTGGGGTAGCTCCCCAGCTGCACAGTGACATAAAGGGAAAAAGTGAGTTTTTTTCTCTCTCTCGGTATATGCGGATCTGGTGTATACGAAGAGGGAGGGAACTACTGTTCCCGAAGCTGGTCCAGATGGGTGTAAACGTTATCGGCTTTACTGAGCTCCTCGAACACGGGCAGAAGGTTAAGCAGCTCGGTATCTTCCACGTCGTCAAACCAAGACACCACAGGAATCTGAAGGATGAAAAGGAAACTGATCATTAACTGACTGGGATATGATATCATCTTATTATATAAAAATAAAACTGTTACTTTGATGTAATGAAATGATCATTATTTCAGATATTGTTGATTGAATATTATCATCAGTTATTATAATTAAAAGCAGAACAGCTGGTAAATAAAAACATCTAGCTTATTCCAGAGATATTGAAGGGAGTTTTTCCTCCCCACTGTCACTACAGGCATGCTCAGTGAGTGATTGCATTCGAGTCAGTGAGTGGATGCAAACAACTGGTTTTCCTTAGATAGAAAATTTGAATCAATTTGACTGGATGATCTGGTGAACTGTAAAGTGTCTTGAGATGTGTTGTGAATTGGCGCTATAGAAATAAACTGAACTGAATTGATAATACCCCATCACTTAATTTTTTTTACTTTATTAGCCTTTAGTTATTTATACCAGCGAACAGTACTTCTTCTATTTGCCCTTACACAGAGGTCACCTATTATTATTTATTGTTTTTATGATTGTTTACCCTTGTGTGTATCTGTATGCTTAGGTTGCTGCTGAAAAACGATAATTTACTCGTTTAACTTTAGAAGCAATTTTATTCTTTTGTTGATTTGAACATGTTTAAAAACTGTTAAAAAAAACTTTTTTTGTTCACAGATTATTAGTGTAGGGGCTACTTTCAGCCAGCTAGTCATCAGTGTGCAGAAAGAACCCAGACCTCCCAGGATTTGCTTTAAAAACTTACACTACAAAAACAGAAATCTAAATAAGTCAGTTTTTATTAAATTAAGTGCATTTTTCTTGAATTAAGGAGGTGAGACACTTTGCCAATGGAGCAAAGACATTTAAAACAAGTGCATATCATCTAAGTATCTTATTTTAGGAGTAAAAATTCTCACTCCATTGGCAAATCATCTTATTTAACTTCTCAAGTTAAGGGGAAATACAATTAATTTGAGAATTTTTCACCTATATTTAGATCGTTTTTGCAGTGAAGTGAAAAAACTTCCAACCATTTTGGTGGCATAATTAAAAATAAGTGGTTTTGAAAACATACTTATAAAAACCCCAGCATACCTCAGTACAGCTGTCCATCCCAAGCACAGACTGGTTGGGAACTATCTGTTTATATAACAGCTTCCTTTTAAGGAGGATTAAAGCTGAAAGCAGAAATGCCTCAGAAGTCAGGAGGACTGGAACTTTAATCTCCACTAGAACATAAACTCGAACATGCGATCAGTAAATGCATCATCCCTAAAGGCTAGCAGGGTGTGTTAATAACAACACTCTTTGGTGTGGGAGTTGGTTACTAAAGAAATAAGACTCCAAGCATCTGAGGTCCGAGAAGCAGTTTTCCTGGGTTTCCAGGGAAGAACTCCTGCTGTTTATTCAATCTGATCATTTTAAACCCAAAGATTTTTGCCAAGTGACAGGAAAACTAAAAAAAAATGTACATCAAGGTGTGGTCCTATTTCACTTTTTTTGCTTCCTCAACCTCTGAATGTTATGAAACTTGTTGGATGTTGAAATCTGTGAGTTGAATCAAGGGTCAAAGTTCTCCAGGAAAAAAAAAACAAAGACCAACGCTTACAGCTTCTGAAGCTAACCACACTAACTGCCACCGCAAAAGGGAGTAAGGATAACATTAAATGTTTAAAAAAGTTTTTTTTTTTTTTTTTTTTTTTTTTTTTTACAGTAACTGCTCTATTACACACAATGTGATATAAGAAAATCTGAATTTTTTTTTTTTGGGGGGGGAGGTTATGTGTCAATATTATGTTACAGAACTATTTATAGCTCTGCTGAAGGTTTCACTTTCTATTGAAGCCTGAAAAACAGCATTCATGTTTGCTTCAAAATAGATTCTTTCATCTTCTGTGCTTCAACTGAATTTATTTAATAACTAAATAATTAAATAACCCTGCTGCCTAAGATGGCTAATTTTGAGTCTTATCCCCTCAGTAACAACAATAAAATAAAGAATTCAAATCCAACATGCAAAGATAAATGTCTCTTTCTGTCTGTCTTTCTTGTTTAGTTAATAAAGGAAATTCTAATACTTTTTTTAATAATTCTATTATTTCTTATTTTCACTTTATTGAGTTTATACAGCATCAAAATAAAGTTAATTTCCCATTAAATTAAACTACAAGTCCATATTAACAGAATTAGTTAGTAGAAAATCTAATTTGACTATTTCTTTTCAATTAAACCGATTCCTCCTTCTTTATTGCCTTAAAGTTCTTTTCAGATTAGGAATTCTAGCTGCAGTAAAATCATATTTAAATGTCTCAGTGAAGATGTTGGTTTTCTTCTCTCATCTCATTTGTGCTATGACTGCTCTGTGACCTTTAGCATTTACAGTGATGTCATTTGTGTTCAGATTCAGCTCTGCTGCTGTGAGACTCTGTCCAACAGGCTAAATATGGCACAGCAATTCATAACAGTTGGACTAAAACAACGTTATCTTCATTAATAGTTGTGGCAGCCTATAAGAAGCTGCTATCATGTGATTGGTTGACATTCTTCATTGTATCTTTTGGGTTAACTTTTATTTTATATATATATATTTTTTTTTAGCAAATATGTGTAGAATGGATCAAAGGCGCCAACTCACAGCATTATTAGGGTGAAAGATGTACGAGGCAGGGGAGTTATCCAAGATGAGGGTCCTGGTGAGGTCCCTGCCCAGACGGCTCAGGTCTTTCACGTAGCAGCCCTGGTGGAACACACAAGATTCCCGGAACAGCCGGGCCCGAAACACGCTGCCCTGATCCAGCAGGTCTGTCACTGGGTCTGCATACTGGGGGAAGAGCGGGGATGTGCGAGGACACACTAATGAAGACCTTTCTACGGATTGTGCAAGCGTTTTATGTGCATGTTAGGGCGTCTAATAAGGTGACTAGCAAGTTGTTAGGCAGTTCTAAATAAAAAAGAAGGAACTACGAGACGAGAGAAAGCAGAACAATATCTGAAGGATCAGGGGTTAGATGAGCCAAACAACACTTGACTTGCTGACACAAACAGAAAAGTAAAGTAAATAGTAAAGATGGAGTTCAGGATCTGTTTTGGTACCTTAGCAAGACTGGCTGTAAACAGCACACATTCAAACATTTCTCCCATTCTCCGCAGGAACTCATCCACGTACGGCCTCTTCAGAACATACACCTGGAGAGGCACACAAGCTGTAAGCAAAACTGTTTCACTTTCATACAACTAACACTTCTACAAACACACAGCTAGACATCAGCCGCTCATGACCCCTTCCTGAAACAAGTAATCAAGAATAGGCCGTGCCAGCGTGAACCAGCCTATCCTGGATTACTTGAACCAGGCAGAGGCCCACAAGGGATTCCTTAAGGCACATCAAGACCGAAGGAATCACACTTCATTAGGTTTCCACATGCTTATAAACAGAGATGTCCAAAAAAAAAAAATAGCAGTAATTCTGCTGAAGCTTTTCCTTTGCAGTTGCTTCCACTTTCTGTTCAACATCTGGCCAGCAGGGGGATCCGTCTGCACATCTTTGGGCCCCAAGACCCACCCCTGTTCAGAAAACACAAGCCCACCCCACCCCACAGCAAACATGGCCGTTTACCTGGTGTGTGGTCCCCTCTATCTCCACCGGCACGATGAAGTCCGCATTACTAATGGGCTGAAGGGAGAAGACAGAGGGAGAGGGGGGGTTGGCACGCCGTGTACATTCACATGGCATTACATAACAACCGAGCAGCGAGGCGCGCAGTCCAGAGCGCTGTTGTGAATCACAGAGCCACAACCCTGCATGAAGGGGGAATTCTGCCCCTCGGACACATGCAGAGGTTTTTAATGGAGGAACTCTTCAACAAACACCTAAAAACCACAACAGAAAGCGCATCTTTCACGCCAAATAGAGACCGTCTGTACCTTAAATGAGCTGTGCACCAGGGTCTCGTCCAAGTCGATGACCACGCAGATCTTCCCCTGGTCCTCGGCCTTCACCTCAGGCAGGAGGCTAACTTCCGACAGCTGAGGAAACAGATCGGGACTTTATGTGACAACGCTGTTTGGAACACCACCCGGTCCCTATGAGGCAGATATTTATCTGAAAATCAATCCCGAGTAATTTGATGTTCTCTCTGGGAAAACAAGATTAGATGAGTTGAGTTTCAGGAAAAACAGGGAAGATTATCTCCTTTAACGGCACTCGAAGGAAATCTTTACATGTCTTTGGTCGTATTTCTAAAGCCAATATAAGTGGAAAACAGTGTGGTTATTCTCAGGAAATTCACATTTTTACTCTGATGGGGATTCTTTAACATATTACCTAGCATAAAATTAGATTGAAGAAAGAGGCTTTCTTTAAGAATGTAAGAAGGCCACTGAGAGAAAAAGACCCTCCTTTAACGGACTGGGTTTTATTAGAGCTCTATGGGAAATCAGGCGTGAAGACGCAGGAGAGCTCATTAATATTCCCCCAATGATCCTGTTATGATCATTATTTATCAGCCTCTGCAGAGGATCAAACCTGATCCACAGCTATAATCAGCACCAATGGTCCATTAATGTGTTAGAAACATGAGCAGCTTTGGATTTAAAGTGACAGTTGTACTGTCCTTCATGTCTGCACCTGGTATAGATTTTGTGAGGGGGATGCTAAAAGTCATGGCACATGCCTAAAATCAAGGGTTAACCAAAACCGAATATACATCTGGAGCGTCTCCATTGTATGGTCGCTCAATGTCGAACAGCCTCAGAGCAAAGCCTAAAGAATCAGAGCGACAGAAAGCCATCTGTTTATGGTCCAGCTGGGACGTATAATGAAACCTCAACAAATGCAAACAAACAAAACAAAGGAGCCTGATCCAGAGATGCTCAATTCCTGTTACCTTGACGACCGACCCATTTTCCTGTGACTCCAGCAGGCTATGTTGGGAAGGCGGCGGCAGAGGTGGCGGCGGCGGTTTGGGGCCATCCTGGACTTTGAGGCAACAGAAGAGGGCTTTGAAGATGTTACAGCTCCGAGGCTGTTTCAGGGCAGAGCGGCTCACCTGGCCTGTTCAGCAAAGAGAGAGCGAGAGAATGGAGGAGACTTTTAGGGGGGTAAGGCTCATAGTGGAAATTTGAATTAGCACCTCAAAGCTTACATGGGTTAAACATTGTTTTACCAAAACAAAACAAAAGTGTTTAATTTAGTTTAACTAGATACAATCTGCCTGTAAAATCTGTGTTGAACTTCCTATTTTCCTAAAAAGCACCTACATCCGTCTACATACATGGCACAAAGACCCATGCAGAAAATCTGTTTTTAATGTGCATGCCTCCGCTGCTTCTGCTGGAAATGGCTGCTACAGGTTACATAATCACAGAGGGCGGGAAAACCCACAATCTCAGAAAAAAAAGAAAAACAGACAGAAAACATCCAGGCTCTTTAAAACTCTGGGGGCCTTTCCTTTTAGAGCTGCCTGAACTCAGCCGGAAACAGCCCCGGTCAGTGAGCCGGACAAACCAAACCACCGCTCGCTGCCTTTGATCGTTCCCCCGTAAAGATCGCCATCCCAGCTCCACACAACACCTGTGCCGAGAAGACAAAGAAAGAGGAGGAAGACATTCTTGCCAGTCCCCTCTGGGGGTTTTACTTGTGAGGACTTGCAAGGAGAGTTTAAAACCCATCGATATTGTTTCACTGTTGAAATAAACATGAAGCGGAGGAACTGTGGAGCAGAACACAGGGATAAAAAACTGAAACGCATCAAACCAGGCTTCCAAAGGCAGTGACAGATTTTAGCTTCTCTTCTAAACCCTTTTCCTTGAAAGAACTCAAGACATAAAATAGCTATATCTTTGGCAGGTTTCATGATAGAAGGAGTTCTTCTAAATCCAACTGAAAAATTTGTTATTTTATAAATCACTTAACTTGCACTTAAAAAAGAAACTGATACAGTTGCTTAAGTTAATAAATTAGAAAAAAATAAGATTTATTATCAGTATCTGAGATGTGGATTACAAATGAGAGGCAAATAAAAAGAGTCACATTCTGATCTGCAGCTGATCTGCTGCTGCGTCTTTAGAAACAAACTGCCTGCAGGTTCTTTAGAGATTAGTCCCAGTTTATGCATTAAATCTATAACATTTATCTGATTTTATTCAGCTTAAAAAAATGCACATAAATCAATGTTTTTTAGCTCTATAAACTAAAAAAAATGGAAGTTCTTGGTTTTAAGCATTTAATGAATAGGAATTTTGCATTTTTTTTAAGCATTTGGTTATAGTTGCATCTCAAAAACAGCCAACCTAGAGAATGAGCCCTGATGGTTGTTGCTCTGAGAGCCTAATGCAAACAGCCCTGTTACACAACGCCATGTTCAGACAAAGCACGCCGCAACTCAATACAGTAACTGCAGATAAACAAGCAACCTTTTTTTTCCCTTTTTCGAAGAGGTTATGGTTAAAGATTTAACTCACACATTCGGCATTTTAATCAGTCTTTTCAAACCCAGGGGAATGAGATGCATGACATAACAGAACTCCCCTTCATGTAAAAAAAGGACAGGAAGATGAGAGGAGATTAATCCCTCTAAGGTTTATCAGTGACAGACAGATGGATCCAAAAAATGCAAAATATCACCCAAAGCCCACACAATCTAAAAAGAAACAAAAAAAAAGTAATAATAAAAGCCAAAGAATGTGATACTTTGAGGCTGGATTATCTTCTATGGATAAAACATGAAGCAAGAGGGTGAATTAGGAAGGAAAGCCTTTTTTTAAGCCTGAGTAAAGTGTTCAAACAACCAAATGTTTTAAGCAGCGCTACAGTGGGCGTGATGAAGACGGGAGTGTTTGTGCATTCCGCTGTCAGCAGCGCGGCACCTGATTGTTCCTCATTATAACCAGCAGAAAACATCCCAGCATTCATGTGTGGCAGGATGCACACCCAGTTCCTGCTCTGTCTGTCTCATTGAGTGGAGAATCAGCTGCGACTGCACACATAGAGCTACCGACAGACTTACAGCAACAGAGCTGCTGCTGGGAGGACACTACAAGCTGATTAGGAGAGTATTTTAATGTTATTATGAATTATTACTAGGGGGAAAATGAGCAGTAATCAACATTCACCAGATTTTCTATGTTTGGGAGCAGATGGGGGACATATATAATCTTAGGGTGGCCCATCAAAACCAAAAGCAACAACAAATTAAATTTTTCTAAAACCCTACAATAGGATTTAAGCTTGTTTATTTCCATTCTATATTTACAAAAAAACTCCCCTTGTTTGATTATAATGTTAGAAGATGTTTCATATGACTTTCCAAGTGCTTACTGAGCTACAGCTGTAGGTGAAGCCAGGACTAAGTGACAGGTTCAAAACACATACAATTATAATGACTAATATACAGTATTATATACTAATGTATAAGATTCTAACTATTATGATAATCAACTAATTAAATGTATTCAATTAGATGCAGCTAGCTATGAACCAGTTATATGTATCAAGATTTTTTAAGGTTATATTTTCACCACAATGTTTGTTTAAAATACTTTGATAAACACAATAAAGTCCCTCCAAAATATGTTGCTGCACACTGTATATCAGCTGGCTACTTATTGGCACAAAAATAAATAATTATGGCTGTTAGGGTACATTTTCACAGATAGTATAAATGCTGTTGTTTGTTGTTGTTTCTCTAAAAGTAAAACCAATTAGAAAAAATAGGCAAATTTACTCACAGTTATCATGTGGGCCAGAATCTAATCCTGACCAAATTTCTGCATCTTTTCTTTTCCTCTCCTGACCTTAGGAGTGAAAATATTATGCATATAAGCAGGTATGAACTAATCAACTCAAAGCTGCTGCATCCAGAATACTACCTGATAACACAAACATTCACCTAATATCAAGTACGGACATTTTCTTTGGTAGTTATTGAACATGTTGTGTACAAAAGGGATTAAATCACAGTGCTTATTCAGAAGAAGACTCTGAGCTGAATGTCTCTTTGTTTCTGTATAGAATATTCTGTCCCACTCTTCTTATCGGCTGACATTTCTTAGTCTATAGATGTGAAAAATATGTTGCAGAAAGGATAATCCTAAGTTAAGAGCTTGCATTGATTCTAAACCCCCAAAAGGATAAAAAGATTATTTAACATCCAGGGGTGTCTTCAGTTGGCCGAGTTAGAGTTAGTGGGTGTGTCTTTGGTGTTCTTTCCATTGCGATACATCATGTCCTATACGTTACACATACATGGACGTAAACTTGATTTTATGAATAGCATTTTTACTTTATCATACCTGCATTATTATAAGTATAAACAAACCGGTTTGTATTTAAACTATTATATACAACATATTATCTATTTTTTCCTGACAATATCCCTTGTTAATATATATTAATTTACATTATTTATAAGTTTACAAGCAGATAGCTGCAAATGTACTTTTTAACAAATGATAAAAAAAGAAAGTTTAAATGAGTTCTTTACTAATGAGTGGGAAAGTGGACCAAGTAATATGTAAACTAGGTATTAGTATTGTCTTTTTATGTTTGTTTTTTTGTCTCTTCGACTCTTCCACAAAAATATCTATTATATCAACCACTCAAAAGTTTATGGACAGGGGAATAGAAATACACGATAGATTCATAATAGTGAAGGCAGTAAGCAACACCAACACAATAAAAACAATAAAGGTAAAATAGAGCTCCTCATTGATTACACTACAATTCATGAGAGAGAAATACACAAGCGCATGAAATACTGGACTTTCAACACTCTCACGTGATATTGTTTGAATTTAAACTTTCTTCCCTTCCTCTTTCTGGTAAAACAGATTGTTTGGACATTCAACAACAAAAAAAAGTACTATTACTCCTAAGAGGGGTTAAAAGCATGGGTGGTTCTAGACAGGCGCCAACGGGCCCAGTGCCCCTGTAGATCATGTCCTGGCCCCTGTACTAAAGACATAATACTAAGAGAAATTCTAATGATGATATGCGCTGGAGCAGACATGGTTTCTGATAGGTCCTTTGGATCTATTAAATTTTTTTTTTCTGTAAAAGATTATGTTTTACTAATTATTTAAAAACAATAAGGTCATAGCTTCAGTGATGTTGAGATAGGATCCCAGTTTTTTATCTCTTGTTTATTTTCCAAAACAAATAAAAAAAATACTATTAACTTTTACAGCTAAATTTCAGCTAAAGTTCTAATTCTGATTTCATAGAAAACTATCATTTTAATTTGAACTTAAATTAAGTAAAAAAAATATATAAATGAATGTATATTGACCTAATATTCCAAATAATAGCTTTATTTCATATTTTATATATATATATATATATATATATATTTATATATCTACAATTTCTAGAGTTGCTTTTTTGCTAAGGGATTTTTATTTTGGTTTTAACGATAATCCAAATGAAAATGTTTGTGTCAAAAATAAACATTTAATTTTTTTTTTAATTAAACCTAATTGAAAAAATTTCACTTCATGCAGCTCTTTTGCTTCATGCTTTTCTGTGCCCCAATGAAAACACGCTGCCCCCCCCCTCTAGCCCCCCGAAACATTTGGTCTAGATCCGCCACTGGTTAAAAAAGGGTGCCCACTGACCCCCCCTTGGTGCCGCCACTGACAATAACATGAAGAGGAGACAGAGATTTGCCCCCACTGCAGAAAGAGACAAACATGATCAACAATAGCTAAGCTCGGGCTGTAATGGACATCGTGAACTCATAAAAGTCTGATGCAGAGCAAATCATGTAAAACACGCTTCAGGGTGTTGTTATATAAAACTGGCGCTGAAGGTCTTTAGCTGTAATTTGATGCTGTTTTTCCTGGCGATTTCAGAGAAAAACAACAACAACAAAAAAAACTCTCAGATAAAAGAAAATCATATTAAAAGAGCTGGGCGCGCGTGGGTATTCCACAGTGATCACTTAAGATTTGTGTGGAAAAAAAGGCAAAACAAGGCAGCGCGCCTTTCAGACCGCAGCCCTCAACTGTCAAATAAAAACAGGCGCTCTGAGTGGGTTTTATTACACACACAGACGGCGAGAATAAACACAACAGCTGTGGGTTAAAATGTTGCCCGGAATCAGCTCACCTGCTTTCGGTGACACTTGGACGTCTTCTTTCTGCACTTGGGTGATAACAGAACTTTCCATCTGACAATCACAGAGCCCTCAAAATCCTCAAATCCTGTCCCCGAGCACTGATGGGCGTCCCTCATTGGGGTTTTTTTTAATTGATAAGGCGACTCTAGCAGTATACACCGAGGTTACCGTGTGACCCGCCTCAGTTATGGTCCGGATTTATCTCGTCCCTGCCTGGTTCCTTTCTTCTCCAAAACCGCTGCTTCTTGTTCTTCAGTCGGCTGCCTTAGGAGGAAGGATGGGGTAAGGGGGGGCGAGGCACTTGGATATGTTTTCCGGAGGTTATCTGACACTCTGCCCGCTCCGTCTCCTCGGGTGTACCGCTATTTGGTGGTGATAGCCGCCGAGTAGCCCCCTTCTGCCGTCACTTTTGCACCAACAACATGGAGAATCCAGGCGAGAGAAGGAAAACAACCGAGGAAATGGGGCAAGGGAGGACGGTTTCAAGTCCCCCTTTACTACAGATAAACAACACCGCCCGCACGGTCCCAATGAGCGACAAAAACCCGCGTCTGTCACTCTGAAACGTAAATTCTGACAAAGAAAATAGGATTCCGGGTGATAGTTTGTTGTAAAATGCGGGTTTTGATGTTATGCGGGGTTTTGTTTTTCCACGGACCGCACTCCGGGGTGCCTTGAAACCGTCTACGCTCACTGATTGGCCGATACGAAAGAAGGGGGCGTGGTTACGGCATTCCTCCCTATCTTGCGCGCGCTCCGCAGAACACATTCCAGCGCTTCAAATGGGCGCGCGCCTTGTTTATTAAAATTTAGAAAATAAACTGAAAACTGTTATCAAGGTTAGAATATTATATGTTTAAATCATTTAACTGCAAGCTGAGTATTTTTTTTTTATTTCAAATGGGCGCTCTGAAAAAAATATTCTTACACTAAAAAATAGTATAAAAAAATTAATGAATCAGTTTTTTTGTATTGATACATCAATGAACGGCTCACTGAATTCAAACAGTTGAAATATAATTATGCCATCAACTGAAGATTAAACTAACAGCAATAAAACACAATTTTTGAAATCATATTTTAATTAAACAAGGTTGTTCATGTTAATGCTTATATATATATATATATATATATATATATATAT